GTGTTTAAATTTTAAACGTATTAAAGTGTTTATTATCTGTGGCAATTTGGTGTTTATTTTTAAAACACTTATTTTTTACAGTGTAGGCCGGGGAGCACAGTTAATTGATTTTCTTTATGAACGAACATATTTTTCTTATATTACAAGATTGTGATACAAATAATTTTGAAATTGATGAGTCATTTATTGTCTTTCTATGCATAAAATCGGTTGATTAATAAAAGTCTTGTAAATGAATTATAATTCACATACATCAGCAAATACAAGGTTAAATATTTCAAGGGGTGGGTGGGTGATCAAATGAAAGCAAAAACTGAGTTTTTGTTGTAAACAAGTGTTTTATTGATATTTTTCTTTTGTAAGAAAATTATTGCTTTTTTCGATGGGGTGCGCCCAATTCACCCTTAAAAAATATATTGGATTCTTCTTTACACTTTCAACACTCTACTTACGACTGCGATCAAGGTCATTTACGACAGCGATCACGGACTCCGCGTGCCGGGATTGAAAACTTGTTCTGCTATTATCTCTTGTCAATCATAGCTAAGATGACACCCGACAATAACGATCGATTAATTAAACGGTAATACCCGTTGATTTTATTTCTTAAATTTATCCGATTGTCTGTAAACAGTGAATTAATTTGCCAGTGAATTCGTGAATAAAATAATATAAAGAAATAAATCCTATATAATTTATTAGTCATGCAGTTCTAGGACATAGGACATGTATACATATATATTGAATGTATTGTTAAGAGCCGCGACTATTGATTACATAATTATTGATTTTTTTTTCTAGACGGGGTTTGAAATCAAGGATTTTAAAAGGCGGTTGGACATTGTATATTGATATTTAATAAACACAATACCGGAAGAGAGAACGAAAGAATTACAATACATATCCCCCGGCTTCACTACCATATAAGATTTTAATGATAAATTAAAGTTTACCTCTGTAATGAAAAGATATATTTACCATTCTGAATAAAGTGCATATTAATGAATTACATGTATCGGGTCCCGCTGAAGACATGAATATCTTTTTTTTTCTTAGAACGGGCACTTGTTTCTATAATAATTTTTTTCCCGATTGTTTACTTACTAAACCAAGTGCCCGTTATATTTAGCCATGTACAGATTTGAAGATACAACAGTAAGATCTCGGTAATCTACCCCCCCCCCCCTTTCCTGCACAATGTTCCTATTTGAAGCAGTGTACACATTACATTTGAAAATTTTAAACAGAGCCTAATTTAATCAAATGAAATTATTTTCTTTACTAAATCAAAACAAAAAAAAATGTATAAATCAATCAATAATAAAAAAGGAAAAGAAAATCAATCCGTTAACAGAAATCATACGCAATTTAATCAATTTTTTTTTTTCAAATATAACTGTGAAACTGAGTTTATTTGTCAGTAATAAAGTCAGTAATGGAACGTCTTTTTAGTATCAAACTATAATTGTAAAAACATTAAATGCTGTAAAAAATGATGAATTACAAATATAATTTTTTTTCAGTGCATAATTTAGAGTCTAGTGAAAAAAAGTTTGACGATGATGAGCATTTCATCGGGCGGGTCACATACTCATCGACAACTATTAATTAATTACAACTGAACATTGAGTATTTTATCTGTTAATATAGTTCTGGTGTAGCGAGTTTTAATCATAACTTCTTCTGAATGATTGTAATTCTTAACTACTCGTTGATTAATCCGTAATAACTGAAATAAAGTCCAAGAGATTCCGAATAGAAAATCCAGATCGAGGCCAAAGCGTGCGAGAATCGTGTACAAAGCGTGTGAGAAACGTGTAGAAAGCGTTTCGTGCAGGCTTTCGTGTAAACCGTGAAGCCTTTCGTGCAAAGCGTTTCGTGTAAACCGTGTAGCGTTTCGTGCAAACCGTGTAGCGTTTCGTGCAAATCGTGTAGCGAGCGTGTACCGTTCGTGCAGCGTGCGTGTGGGGTAGTAGCACGTTTCAGGGTCTGTAACTATCAATTGAAGAGCAAACATGCTAAACACCCAAACAATCCAGAGCATTGCCACTGATGTCATTATTATCACATTATACATTAGAGGTTGCATAACATTTGGCCATTCTCGAATGCATCATTCATTCCAGCAAAACAGAAGGAAAGAAGCTGGCCAGGTCAACACTTGTTGATTATCTTTATCAGATTAACTATAATGGGTGTTTATTTTCAATGCATACCAAGTCTCTCTACATTTAGAATTTTTACAAATCTACGCATATTCATAACTTGCAGACGTTTAATTTATTCATAGTTAAAAAAAAAATATCAAAGTGAAGGAAAGATGTTGAATATTCTTTTACTTAAGGACAGATGATATAAACAAACCTTTATCCCAAAATTTGAAAATAACAAGTTGAGTCCTGTTTATATGCGTAAAATGAACAAGTTTATCCGCATAGTTTTTAATTTTTCATTCAAAATTTCACAATAATGGAATTAGAAGAGATAAGAATTTGTATAGATTAATAAGGATTGTTGCAGAAAGGTAGAATTTTGAACATCAAAGTAGGTTTACAATTTAAGATTTTAGATTTTTTTTTTTTTGCATCATTTACAACAAAAATAGGCCCAAAATACATACTGTACCAATCCAGGCATCCATGTTTTTTGTATCATCTGTCAATAAATGCAAAGATGTTAGCTCATTAAGCCTCATTTGTAACATGTTTATTTTTTTAATAAAAAAATTTCTTAATTATCAAAATTATTCATTTTAAGCGTTATAAATTTTTCTTTCAAAAGCACTGGTTATCTTTGTATCCATGAACAGGCCCGTTGGAAGAAATTTAAGAAATTTTCAGTTAAGGGTGGACACTATCAAGTAAAAATTCCTTATAGAGCATAAAAGAGTTATCAGACGTTAATATTTACATGATTTAGGGGACACACGCATAAAGTAGCTATGTATAAATGGGAAAATTATTATTATTATTAAACATTATTATTATTATTAAACATTTATAGAGCGCCCTATATATTAAACTCTAAGGCGCTGTACAAGCATATTATATAATACAATAAAATTTAAAAATTTACAGCAATCATATATGAAATTATAAGATGAATATATAAAATTTCAGTGTCAACACTATACATAAAATACTAAAAATAAGATAAATAGGATGAATATTTAAAATGCAGTCACCCTAATGTAATTAAAGGATTAAATACACAGTCTATTTACAAGTCATATGCTTTTTTAAAAAGAAAAGTTTTTAGCTTTTTCTTAAAAAGTTCTATTGAGTCACATTTTCTAAGATACAAAGGAAGAGAGTTCCATAAGGTAGACGCAGCTCTGTCGAATCGTCTATTCCCATATGTCACAGTCCTTGTTGACGGAACCACTAAAAGATTTGATGATTCTGAGCGTAGGCTACGCGAAGGTGTGTACGGCTCAATTAGTTCGCAAATATATGTTGGAGCTTGTCCGTGGAGTGCTTTGTATGCATAGACAAGAGTCTTAAATTGGCAACGAAACTCGACCAGCAGCCAGTGAAGACTGATCAAAACAGGAGTAATATGGTCAAATTTCGACTTAGACAATGTTATTATGCGCGCAGCTGTGTTTTGTTTTGTACACGTTGAAGCTGGTTTGTTAGTTCCGACAAGTAAAGCATTCCCGTAATCCAAACGGGATGTAATTAATGCATTAACAATCGTTTTGCATGCATCTTCGGCGATGTAGTTTCTAATACGTCCAATGTTTCTTAGGTGGAAATAACATGATTTAGATAGTGCATTGCATTGTTTTTCCATTGTTAACGACGTATCGAAAGATGTCCCAAGATTTTTAACAAAGGGGGTGTTATGGATGATGTTGTTTCCAAATGAAAGACTGAAACCTTCAATTTCAACTGATCTGGTCTTAGGCGCAAATATCATGAGTTCCGTTTTTTCCTGGTTAAGTTTAAGCAAATTTGCATTCATCCAGTTTTGTGGGGCACGCCCCCCCCCCCCCTTACGTCCCAGTTCCTACGTCCATGAAAAAAAAAGAAGAAATTTCAAGTAATATAGTGTATATAAAATAAATTCATGTCCAAATTTTATTTTATGTTTTTTTTCTCCATTCTTTATTTTCAAAAAATACAACAGGAATTGGGATAAAATATCCAAGGATATTCCCGGCTAATCCTCACCTATGGTGCCAGGGGCCCATTGGATTGGATATATTATATTATATTATATTATAGATGTGTCATATACATATAAACATAAACATTCATCACTAATATTTTTTTTAAATCTGAATATCATTTTCTTTATATATAGAAAAAAAATACAAATATTTGTTAGAATTAATAATTGATTTCTCGAGAATTAAGTCTCGCTGCCAGTGGGGCACACCCTTCGTCTTACAAAGTCAATAATAAGTACCCCAACATGGCAGCACTACTGAAGGACAGACCCCTTCAGATAATCAGACTGTATTGTTATTATTACAAAGCTAAAGCAATATCATAAAACCATTTATATGTAAAGCTAACATCCAATCTTTTATAGGTCTCATATTGATACATTAGGTTTGTCTTTACATAGTATAAAGTATCATTCATATTTTCTTCTTTGTTTTCATATCTTAGCTTCATTTTTATCTTATATATAAGAAATGCTATATGTAAGATAATAAATAATTAAGTGAAACAGTAGTTTTGTTTTCTTCATAGAAAAATCCCAATACAATATTTTTCCATTTTATATTCAAATTCAGACAATTTTCTAGATTAGCCCAAATCAGTTGTACATTTCTACATTCAAAAATTTGTATCTTCTAGTGTTTCACAATACGGACATTTGTTTGATACATTCTTATTCCATTTGTTTTATTTTATGTTGATGCCACTGATTTGAGCTTTTCTTGTTTCTTAGGAAAAGAAATCATTTCATGACTCAGAGTCATGTTGTACTTGTCTTATTTTCGGTTTGGAACGAAATCTCTGGGGTCGAACATGCAAAGGATCGAAACCTTTGGGAACGAACACCCATTCTATTATTGTTGAACCCCAGCGAAATGCAGCTAAGGATTAAATTTATGTAAGTGTACCGTTTGTCTATGTATATCGAATAATTGTTTGTATTCTTTGAATGACGAATTACAAATCGTATGGTATTTTTTCCAAACAGGGGACTAGCGTAACTAAAGTCGGCCTAAAGAATTATTACGACGAGGGCCAACAATAAATAAGTAACTGTTAAATAAATAAATAATAATAAGAGTTGTAAAAAGGTAAAAATGAATATTTGCACTTGTGTAAGAAATGTTGGCAAAACACGTGTCTTTTTAATGAGTAAAAAATAGTCAAATCAATATAAAGCCTGTGTAATATTACAATAAAAGTAGTAACCATGGCAACAAGAAGGCGTTTTTTGAGCTTTGAAAACATCCCCTGTATGCCGGGGTACCGGTATACTTATGGATAAAGGTTGAAAAGAAATCTAAATACTTAGAATTTTGAACAATAAATGTGACTCAACAACAATAAAACACGTGTTTCAATGATGCATCAGCTTGAAATCGTTTTGTTTACTCCGTAAACTTTGAAATGAATATAAAAATTATATCGTCGGTAGGTGTGATACAGGTGTATACGTATGGTGTGCCATTAGCGTTACAATTAAGCAAAATTTGTAATAAAATTCAGTGAACAAATTAAGTTATACCAACTCTAAATCATTTTGAGATTAAATATCTTATAAGTGGTAAGGTACAGATCTATGCCAAAAGTGAAGATAATTTTATTTTTTCTCTATATATTTTATTGAAAACCTATAGATAGTTTTCCTATGACATATTTTGCCTCGGAGTTATTCCCCTTGGCCGCCATCTTGAAGGTCAAAGTAGTGAATTTTCCTCTTTGAACAACCAATTTTATACATGCATGCCAGAAATATATGGGAAAAAATATCTACAATATTGAAATTATGAATTAAAAGAGGCTTTAACAAATGTATATTCATAAGAAAAACAGTGTTATCTTCACCTCGGTACCCAGTATAACAAATTGAACATGGTTGAATAATTAAGGGATCTGGGGATGTTGACCTACAATATGGCAGCCATGGGGAAATAACTCTTGCTTAAATCGTCTCAATGGAAAACCATCTATAGTTAAATTGCTGGCATATTTTCATTTTTTGTCCAATTTCATTATTTATTTCAGTACTTAAACCAGAAAATGTGTAGTTATCTTTTTCTAAAAGATCATCACATATTTAGTTTTTAGAAAAAAATAGTTCATCATTTACATCAGTTCTAAAATTTAAGATCAATAGTGACTATATAATTCAATGTGCGTATGACTTAAATTTTCACGTCGCACTTAAATTACAATATTTTTTAAATATTGATGCTGATCAGATAAAAACTATTGTTTTTATAAAATAAAACAATTTCTTGGATTATCAAGAAATTTGTGGTAAAATCTGTCAAGAAATGTTGTCATTCCAGTGATTTTACAAAATGTTGTTTTCAATGAAATATATAGAGAAAAAATAAAATTATCTTCACTTTTGGCACACATCTGTACCTGGTAAGGTACCATTTTTTTTAAAAGATATTTTTCTGAAAGATTTACATTTATGAAATGTTTTATTTCACAATTGTCAAGAAACCAATTCTTTCTTTTCACACATAGGAAAGTGGACACTTGAAGGTAACTCCTTCTTTCACCTCCTTTACATAATAGCAGAGAAGTAAATGGGACCAATGTCCACACAAATAACATTTTAAACAAAAGTTAAAGTTGGAATCTTTCTTAGCTTCTTTGGCTCCATCAATCTACATACACAATAAACATCATACTTACATTACCATTTTTTTTTTAAATGTCAAATTTCACTTTTTTTAACACATATAGGAACCCTTCTTTTTTATTATTTTTGATGTTAAAGATCTATTGTAATTCTTGATTTGCTCCATAATCTTTGATTTTTGTGACTGGAGGTCAAGGCTGTTGATTCAGATGTTTCATATGTTGCTTGACACTCCTTCCATTAAGTAGCATTATGCCTTTTTAAATATTCAGATTTTGTCTATTGCATTTAATTTTAATTCTTTTGATTTTTTTTGCTGCACCCTTAAAACAAAAGATTATTACTTTTTTATCAGATAGCAAATAATATAAAAAATAATTGGGGGATAAGTGAGGTTAAAAAATCTTCATGCTATTTGCAGTCATATAAAAAAAAATATAGGGTATGAGGACTTTTACAGGTAAAGTTTAAAAATGTCACAATCCAATTTAACTTTTGATAACTTACCAGACTTTGCAACATTTTAAGATCTAAAGCAATACAGTAATGACAACGAGGTATCACCAATCTTTTTCTAAAAATATCTTGCTGCTAGGTGATGCCTATAGCGAGTGTTTTTATGAATAAAGGGATACCCCCGTACCGTAGAACCACCGGTATCATAGGAATGGAGTATACTACCACAGACACATTTAACACAGCTAGGAACTGAAGTGACTGCTGTCATGAGAAAAGGGCCCTTAAGGTCAATCCTTAAGGTCAAAATTTCACAAATTGATTTTTTGGTAAATTTTGATAGCATAACTCTTTCTGAATGCAAATATACATATTTTTTTAAAAATATCTCACCTTTTCAGTATTTTATGAGCATTTTAGTAAGGCCGCTTCAAAACAACGTTGATGTTACTTACTGAAAACGTAATGACATCGCATGCGTCAAATTCAGCTTCCAAACATTCTTTAAAAAACTCCATTTTTTAAATGACCTCAATCGTTTTGACACATATAAACATGAGAAAATATTTTTTTTCAAGCAATAAGTATGTAATTATTCATAAGGAAAGTCGCATACTATTTTTGTTATTTCGTAAAGGGAGGAGTGGGGGTCTAGACAGGATCTAGGAATGGTTTTCATTCAGTCAAAAAATTAATACTTGTTGAATTCCACGCAAGTTATTCTTTTTATATTTAATACTCTAGCTCAATTTATAAAAGATAAAAAGCACTTGTAACATTAAAATATAAAAAAAGAAGATCTATATAGAATCTATATTATAGATGTCCCAAAAGGGCACCTTTTGCAAAGCAGGGTATCCCCTCGCAAAAAAGCAACACCAATATCGATATAAAAAAAATATATTATTTATACATATATTATATATATAAGATAAAATAGACAAACCACTTTTTTTCTTAGTTATTGTTTCAAAAAATACCAATTTGTCAAAATCTCGAAATTAAAGAACATGACTCTTATTTTTGCCTATTACCACACGACTGAAATAGAAACATTTTTTTTCTTTAAGTCAGAAAGATGTGTGTGTTTGTTTAATCCTTTTCCTTCAGTATCCCGACATCAATGGAACTTTCAAAAAATGTCCAGATATCCGGGGTATCGAGATATCAGAGCTGAGACTCGATGTCCAACATTTCAACATGAAATGTGACTAATTTATTACATACATGAATTCAACAGTCATAAAAAAAAAAAATGCTTTTTTTTTTTTAACATATTTTATGGTAATCAAAGTTTTGCCAGAACCTCCGTTTTTTCCCGCTCGAAACATCCCCAATGTTTTTAGTTTTCATCTTTATCAAAATTTAGATTTCTTGACTGTCTTTGTTGTTTAACAATAGGTATGGTTAATGATTTTGAACATTTTCTTTACACTGAAATGCAAAAGAAACGCAACATCCTATTTTAGGGGGAAGTTTTATATACAGAATATAATTTTGTATCTAAAAAGTAAGGATATTTTCAACTTAGTAAATATCGGTAATTTAACGGTTGAATGATTTTCATGCCATTACCGGAGGTTAAGTTTGAGTCCCCTTAACAAAAATCAAAAACTGCATGTTTAACAAAAGATTTGGCAATAATATGGGGTTTTAAGGGTTTGTATCTGTTCATCATAAGTAATGCAGGATTAATCCGAAAAAATAAATTCTCCTTTCTTTTCCGTAAGAATTGCCAAGGCTTCCTGAAAATGACTTAAGTACGCATTTCCATTGCTCTAGCTGGAAAATCTCAAAATAAAGGTGATAGAGATTTGCAGATGCAAATATGCACTACATTACGCCAAAACAGGCTCTTGCGTATCATTAGTGTGAATGACAGTCCTTGGACCTGAAGTCCAAGGGTTACTACACTGCGCTAGGCTAGAGAAAATTCGACCTCATCATCTGAAAAACAGGCATTTAAAAATGGCAGAGAATATTTCCTTCGCTCAGATCTCAAGATTGATGAACCTACTGCATCGTAGAAATCAAGCTGCAATTGTTGTGCATGGCAGTCTTGCACGCTGTAATTGAGTGGCCGGGGTGGGGGGTGTTTAACAGTCATGTGTTACTTTCTAAATTTAAAGATAATCCTTTAACATATTTATCAAATCTCTGATGTTTTTAAATCGAGTTTTACCTTACTGTATTCATTTTTGAAAATTAGCATATAAAAAATTCAAGTATTTGTAGATTACTGCTTGTTGCGTTTCTTTTTGCGTTTCAGTATACATGTATTTGAATATGACACTCATAACCACTTGTTACTAGTACTTTTTCCTCTATCAGTGATTTATTCTCAAAAGATGTCACCATGTCAACATTTATCAGAAGTTTGTAATTTCTTTACAGCCTAATCTATTGTTTAATCTGTTGTTTCTTCTCTTTCATAAATATTTTTAATCCTAATATCACCGTCGATGTAATTGTTAGTTTTCTCAACATTGATCATAATGCTTTTGGAAAAAGTCCTCATTAGTTGTATTTATTTCCTAAACATATTGCAATTCAATTTCAAGCCTGCTTTTATCAGAACAATTTAAGAAAATTGGTACAATAGTAATATTTATTAGAGACTCCTTTTTATGTATTTGTTTGATCATTTCAAAATGCTTTTTATTATATTTTATTTTTTTGCAAAATTTTCGTGGCATCCCCTCTTCCGTTTTTCCCCTTAGCATATTCTCTTGCTGTTAATTTAGCAATGAATTATTTATATATGGGCCATTTGCCCCATCCCCTTTTTCATTTGTTGTTGTAGTAGGAGGTTCGAATCTCCCATG